GTGTGTCTTTGTCTTTCTCTGTGTTGTTCTCTCTTTTTTTTCTCTCTCTATCCTCATTTGCTTTCTCTCTCCTCTCTCTCTCTCATCTCCTCTCTCTGTCTCTTCTCCTCTTACCCCTTTCTCTCGTCTCTCTCTCGTCTCTCTCTCTCGTCTTTTCTCATCTCTACTACTCATCTGTCTCTTTCTCTCTTCTCTAATGTGTCATCGTCGTTGTCGTTTCTCTGTTTCAAATTTGCGAACAGAATCGGCAAGTATATTGTGCAAGAACTACGCGGCGTCCTAATGGCGTGGTCATCGTGCACGAACGAAAATTAAGAATACATCGGGTTTTCAAACAGTGACAGGGGCGACCCGTTGCCGGAACGGACGAGCAAGAAAAAGGTGTATCCGGCGCGCACGCCGCCTAGCTCCTATATACGAATTACGAGTTAACTCGAAGGCTTTAGGACGCAGTATTTACTAATTTTCAACTGCCGTTCATTGAAATGGCTTCGACTGTGTTAAGTGTCATGCCCGCGCGAATCGCCGTCGGCGCCAGTCGCGTGCTACCGACATTCGATGAATGGGGTCTTCCTCACGGTGTTATCGTGGGTCAGGTTTTTCTATCCTAAGCTGCGTTTTAGATGTGTCGGTAGTTTTTACACACATGATTTCTCACGATTCTATCTCAATTTTTGCTCCGACATGATTACAGTGCCATGGCGTGAAGATCTTACTCTGACTATTAGCTAAAGCGGGTTCACTGTAGCCATTAAATTTTCTCCGCATATAGTGGATGTTATTCTATCATCAATTGCGCCGACAATATTATAAATACGTTTAATTTGTACCTACTATCGGACGTCTGCAAGCGCTCGTTTTCGGCTCAGATCAACAATCACTATCACAACAGTCTGATGGTATTTCGCGGGATGCAAATGTCGGCAATTTGTTTTACACCGGACTCGTGTCGTTTCAATTCGATAATATTTCACGCTGTTTTTGCTTATTTCTTCTGTTGCTGATTTACGATACGTATTATACTGCTACACTAGCCTAACTTATTTGACAATACCGAGCAGCACGCGATAATCCCAGGCCACTTATTAGGCTCTGTTCCAAGCAACCGATACTGTGATTGAACACACTTGCTTTACGATCTAAAACGGACGGATCGTTCGCTAAGAAATCGCGACGTGTAAACGGTGCACGTAACGTAAGCTTGCCGTTAAATTCAGCGATTGTCAAATGAGAGATGGTCCCGCAGACAGCCTAGCGCATCACTCAATAGGAGTTGAGATTCACTGATTCCGGACGACCCTGTTGATGTTGTCGCTGCCTGCCCTGTGTTGTACTGATGGTTGATGCTGATCTTACTGCTGTTGAAACGTTGGTTGCTGAGGTTCGGTGCTTGATGTTGGCGCTGATGTTGGTGATAGTTTTGGAGTTGGGCATCGCACCCACAGGTGCATAGATCATGTTGATACTGATGTTGGCTGATCGATGTTGGTGCTGATGTTCGTTGCGCATGTTTGGTGGCTGATGATCTGGTGCTTCGATGTTGGTGCATCGATAGTTTACGGTGCCTGTGATTCACCGCGTGCTGGCATGTTCGGTGCTGATGTGGTGTCGATGTTGGTGCTTGAAGTTGGTGCTAGATGTTGGTGCTGATGTTGGCGCATAGTGTTGGTCATCGTGTGATATCGCCGTGATGCTTGCATGTTGTGTTGATGTTGGTAATTTGATGTTGGTGATATGGTGGGTTGTACGGATGATGGTGCGCACATGATGATGTTTGAATACTGATGTTTGGTGATCAGATCGTAGATTAGTTGCATGCTTGCATGTGATGTTGATGTTGGTGCTGATGATAGGCGATGGGCATGATCTTGGTAGCTGTTATGTTGGTGCTATCAATAATCTTCAGGTGATACGTAGTTGGTGCCTGATGTTACGCGCTCGCTGATGTATGGGCTGATGTTAGTAGGCATATTATTCTCTGCTGTGATGTGATGCTGGTGTTTAGGGTGATAGCTATCCTGCGATGCTCTATTAGTGTGCAACATTTCCACAGGACAAAGCCTCCCCCCCCCCCCTTGTATGATCCCAGCCAGGACTCATTTTGCTTTCCTTGGTGATGCTAATATGGTGCTGAGTGGTTCGGTGCCTGTATGTTTTCCGTGCCCGAGGTGAATGTTGTTTAGTGCTAATGATTGTATGTTTTTTGTCTTATTGGCTGTTGTTGTTCTCAATAGGTAAAGAAGAATGGTGATAAGGTGCTGAATAGTTGAGGCGTTCATGTTATTGCTGGTGTTGTTGCTGATGTTATTGCTGGTGTTGTTGCTGATGTTAGTGCTGATGCTGATGTTGGTGTTGGCGTTGTTATTGATGTTGGTGTACAACTCGCTATTTGGCTCACCATGATTTTACTGTTCCGCTGATGTCTGGATGTCAATGTGGGTTGATGATAATGATATGTGATGATATTTTGGTATTTACGGCTGGTTCTTCGGTGTTTGCCGCTAATGGTGATAACCCCTGTCTCAGCATACTGTTCCCGGCCCTCCGATCGTCTATCCCCCGTTATTCAGCTGCCCCCTTCCCTCTCTGCAGTAAACCACCTCGTCACGACTTGCCTGCCAATCTTCTCTCTCAGCTGTTAGACATCTCTGCGAACGTCCACACTGCTGATCACCCAGCTCTGTCCCGTCACTGCCTGATTCAATCAAGTCCAATAATTCCCAGAACTGTGCTGGAAGGAACGGCAGTCCGCAATTTGCGACGAGCTTCGCTTTTTGAGGGCCACCCTCCTTGCGGCTCAATTCGTGACGCCGTAGTGCTTTCCTCACCTTTTGTTCAGGATGTAATCTTTTGACGGCGCTACCGAGACCGGATTTAGTGTGTTACTGCTGGACAGATACACCACTAAATGAACGCGACGTTAATGTGAGCTAGGCAAGTTGTAGCTTCATGTTCAGTGGAAGCTTGAAGCACTCGCTGCACCTCAATCACGGGGCCGTATTTCAAACCGACGCTTCCCCGAAATTATACGATTAAACTTGGCTTAGGAACGGGAAAATACACGTTACAGCTGAAAACGAATTATACGATTAACTTTGCTTACGATTGAAACAACACGTTGGCACCGCTGAAAACGTGGGCACAGCGCAAAGGACCATCGAACGCAAAGTATAGCCGAGTTGTAGTAAAGAGTATAGTGAAGTATAGCGTAACATCTATAGCCGATCTCTGGGAGCTCTCAGCGACCAGTTGAGCGAGTGACTGGACGAGGTAAAGAGTCTTAGATCGCGTAGGAAGAACGCGTTGGATCCGGTTAATTAGTTGTTGTGATCGGGTGTTTATTCTGCACCTGTGCGCTTTATATTTATTTATAATTAATATTATTTATTAATTATTTTATTATATTTTTTTAATTATATTTATTATTACTAGCGCGTGCCGGTTCAGAACGCGAGCAGACGGATTTTGCGCTGCATTATATGTGCGGAGATATGCGAGCCTGTATGTTGAACCCTTTTCGTGTCATAATCGTCACATATGTTGTCCAACGTGTCAAGCGAGATCACCTATCTGATGTTCGTCGTTGCGCATTGCAAACGCTTCTGCCTTACTCGCGATAAAACATTCAATTCAGCACAATATTCTTTAGTCAGGATACGCATGTACCGATTTTCTGCGGATAAGACATTGTTAGAAGCTGCCAGCATCATCGGAAAAACGACACAACATGTACCATCCCTCCCCGTAAATCCTCAGTTATATCCGCTTGTATATCCACCGTATGTCTCCCGTATACCCCGTACATTCTTCGTACACCCCCGTACATCCCCCGTACATTCTTCGTACACTCCCCGTTCATTCCCCGTACATCCCGCGTACATTTCTTCGTATATTCCGTATATCCGGCCGTACATCCCCTGTAAATCTCCCGTATATTCCCCGTATATTCCCCCATATTGTGTGTCGTGCCGCAGTTCAATCAGTGCTAGCTGGATGGATTCACCGCCATCCCTAATACGGTGGTCAGCTTAGCGATTACTCGATCCGTGTCACCAGTAGTGTGACACTATGGAGCGTAGTAGTAGTGGTAGTATCGTATGGCATTAACATCACACGTCCACAGCCCCAGTGGCAATCTTGGTCGCGGCAAAAGATTTTCGCTCCACGTTCATTTATGGTGACATATCCTCCCGATATCTCGTCACTGGACCAGGACTGTGAGCTAGTGGACAAGTGACAAGCGAGAACTGCAACTTTATTTTTTTTTCATTTTTTCTTGTATCGCAGGTCACGATGAAGGTCAACGATCGCTACAGGAAGACGGAGTAGTACATTTTTCTTTCCGTGCTAAGGAGAATCTGCGTGCCGTGAGACTGGGTTCTGAGGATCGCACGGGCTTCGTTCTGTACGAGTACTCCGGTTACGTACGCAGCGCGAACGGCGCACGCACGCACACGCACGCACGCACACGCACGCACGCACGCACATGCACGCATTACAACACGTACGCGTTTAGACCCATGCACAGCACATACTCACGCGCATAGCACACGCGCACGATGCCTATTATAAACGCGCCGTATATACACAAGCGCGCATGCGCGCACGCTCTACACTCTTGCACATGCGCTACACACACACACACACACACACACACACACACACACACACACACACACACACACACACACACAGAGAGAGAGAGAGAGAGAGAGACGAGTGCACTCACGTGTAGACTCGCGCATGCGTAAGCGCGCGCTGACAAATTGGAAACGGAGGATTGTCAAGAAATCTACGTTTATGTTTTGAGTTGAGCGATCACAAAATAATACCTCACAGTACGCAGTGACAACACCGCGCGGAACACATCACAGCGGCGTCTGGCTATGTAGTTGAATGATAACAACATAAATGAATAAAATCATTATAGTAGCAGCACCGATCGATAGACGGCAAAACTTCTATCAGACCGCCTTGATAGTACAGCCGATGTAGCATTTTATACAGCCCCCGTATAGAAAACGTCCCTCTCTACATTGCGCATGAGCAATAAAAGATCAAATCTCCATGTCCATGCGCAATACGCCACGCATTCTGTTAGACGCGCCAGTGCACATGCGCGATGTAGGGGACGGGAAGTTTGCCATAAGGGGTATGTATACCGCGCTACACCGGATAAGAGCGATGTGGAGACATTTTTTCCTCGTTAAGCCCGATCTCTATACCAGAGAGACCGGCCGCTACACCCGAATATATCTAGACAAAATCGGCCGGCAGAGGCTTGAAAATGTCAAGAGTATATAACTCCCAAGGAGCAAACATACATCTCATCGGTATATAACGGTTTACGCGCGCCCACAAAATATCAAAGCCGTTCCGCAATCAGTGAAAGACTCCAGCCGGCGTGAAATCGGCACGTGATCAGACACGTGATTAGTTTAATTAACGCGGGAAAAGCTGTTGACGTTGTTGCTGCTGCCGCCGCAGCCCGGCCGTGCAGCGCTGAGGGTTGTGCTCGCCCCACTGTAAGTGAGGCACTGAAACCGCCTCCAAACCAAACAACGATGTTTATCCAGCAGGCGGCGTCGGCGCGGCCCCGTCTCCCGGATGACCGCCCCGCATGTCGGAGGAGGAGGGTTCGATGCGGGGTCGACGCGTATACGAAATACATTGTAACCAAAGCGTATTCATAAGGGTAGTCATACGCTCTTGATTGTAATTTCCGCAGTGCTTTGTTTCGATGGTGTACGCGTGCGGCAATCTCACTCTACAATCTCCGACAGTGATGCGTCAACCACCCTCGTGAATGCGGTTAGATGCTTGTTGTAATTAGATGTCAGTCGGTGATGGCGTTTAGATGCTTGTTGTTATTTGTTAGATTGCTTAGAGCCATCGCGGTGGCGTACCGCGGGGTTAGTAGCGACGGTGGCGCCTCCGAGGTTGGCCGGATCAAATCGTCGAGAAGTGTGCGAAATTGCCGAGCGTTTATGATGTGAGTCTAGCTACTAGCTAGATGTTCTCTCGTCACGTCAGGCGCTGAGGAGGGCTTACTAAAGCCCGCACTCGCAAACAAGCATTATAACAGTCGGTGTGTTAGGATCGTCACGCTTTTGTGCAGTACAATATAGCATGACAATGGATTTACTCCGGACCCTGGCGGCGCCATGATGTGCGCAGTGAGAAGCACGAGCATAAATTCATATTTATCACGAATTCGCATTACGACGGCGTCGAATATGATGGATTGTCATGCGCGACGTGGGGTACGCACCGCGTTTTGTGTGGCCGGTGCGAGCGCGGACACACTCCCGCCCGCGGGGCTGTCTGTGAAGAGAGAGGTGCGGAATGCCAGACGCCGGCATTGCTACGTAGGGAATCATTGCCGACCTGGCGACGGCCCGATGGAATCACGGAATATGTCGTGCCATATCCATGCACGGCTGCGCGAACAGTGAGCGAGCCGCCGAAAATCATTTTCCCGTTGAGTTCCTGCAGCAGCCACGCCGAGTGAGAAATTGCGACTCGTGGCAAATCTCCCCCACCACCTCCACCCCAGGCCTGAGGGTTTAATTTACTATAATTTATGTTGCGCATCGCGGTGTAAAAGGGAGCCGCTCGGCCGTAGGCAAGGTTACATAAGCCGCGTGGAGTTATATATCACCGCTACATATATATACTATCCGCACTTGAACGACTTCGTTCATTTGTCATTTGTAAAAGAGCAGTTACATATACCTGCACAACTGAACTTTTAACATTAGCTCACTGCGCGAAACGCGTCGGGCGATATCTCGTCAATATATATATATATATATTACTACGTATTATATATTATATCCACACTACTTTGCCAAGCGTCTCGGCCTTTCGCAGCTTAGATAATCGCTACCCATCAGTCATTCATCTACTCACGCTCACGGCGGCATGGGGTCGATGGCACACGCAATTGCATACGCCAATTGCACACGCAGATAGAGACGGGTTGATTGCACGAACAACAGCGAACATCAAGCCTAAACTCAGATCTCAATAATAACGCTTCACGGGAAAGATAGCCTTTGTGTCTTTGCAAAGGATAGGTGCTCAAGCAGTGACCCGCCATTGTATCTTTGAGTAAGAAATGCACAAATCACTCAACGTAGTTACCCACCTTGCGTGCGTGAAGTCGGTGTCACTTGTGCTAGGCCTCAAGCTGACTGTGACACGTACGTTGTACACACACGGCTGCGCGCTATACTCAGACAGCGCCGCGCGCACGCACACGCATACGCCACGCACGCACACCGCGCGCGCGCGTACGCGCGCACACACACGCACAGCACACAACCGACAAGTCAGAATAATTATTAAAGTTTCACAAGCGCGCGAGAGTCACCGCGCTGTAATCTTTCATCCTAAGAAGTAAACCATCGTTTTTTTCGAACAACATCAAAACGGCGAATACTACCTACTGACCAACTACATCACCTCACTAATTAGCATTACGCGCTTTTAATAACACACACGCGAGCTAAGCACTGAAAGTCTTCACCGCCGACATGCTAATGTTGCAGATCACAAGAAGAAGCACAAGGTCTGACGACCTTCCGAGCTGAGCATCTTTGACTCGCAGTGGCACCACGCTCATCGTCACGGTGACGGGGACGAGATATCGTACGGCGTGACTGCCGGCACGCAGCGCAGCAGACAGTCAAGCGAGCCCTTCCCCGCGCTCGTCGACATTGAACACTCCGACTTCTACTATCGGCAAACCAGAACCGCAGTCACGATCGATTCACGGTGAGGAGGCGTTAGGAAGGGGAGTGGGAGTAGAAAGGTGTGTTGGAGTGGGAAGGTGTTTGGTGGTAGGAGTGTGAGTAGGAAAGTTTTGGGGTGGGAGTGGGGCGTAGAAAGGTTGCTGGTGTGGATGAGAGTGGAATTGGGATGGTGTTGCGTAGAATGGGTCGATTATGCTTGAAGCAATCTCAATTACGTTGAAGTCGTATTTGTGCATTTTCTTACTCGAAATAATAAGTGGCGGTCCCGTCTTCATGTAATACTAAGACCACATGGTGGCGTAAAAACGAACTCACTGGGGGCGGCAAAAAACCTGGCCTGGACGCACCCTCAGGGCCTTTCCGTGCTAAGAAACTCAATACTACCTGGCCTAACCAAGCGTGCCTAGGGTTCAAACCCCGCTCATGGCTAGCTCATAGCCCAGCTATGCATCAGTGCTCACGAAGAATTCTGGGTTCATTAGCGTCCGCCAGATCGGAATCAACAGGATTACTTGCCCCACAGGCCGCCGCATGCGTCTCGTCATGTCAGGCTCCTCGCTTGTAAATTAAATATGTGATATATATAGATATATTATATTATTCTATAATTCTGTGTAATGGCCGTTTCGGCTCTCGCTAGGCAAGTTTTACTTTTATTAATTTTTTGTAGTGGGATGTCGGGCGGGCGATAGCCGTGACTGTGGGTGGGGTTGACAAGACGTGAAAGGCCTATGGATTGTGGTCTTTGGGCAGATGCAGTGGCACGTCCGCGGGAAGGTGTCTGGATAGGTAGCATGAGTGGGAGTGGAGCGATGTTGGATGGGTGTTGGAATACGTTTGGTCAATGGGAGTGTGAGTACAAAGGTGTTGGGTTGATGGGAGTGGGAAGGTGTCGGGTGGGTGGCTATGGGAATGGGAAGGGAATCATGTAACGTATATATAACTTTGATACGCAGTTCTAGGTTGTTGAAAGCTGTTGAAAATCGCTTTCGTCTGGTAACAGTTTGCTATTAGATAGTATCGCGTCGACATCTTTTCCTATTCGCTCCAAGGTTTACAATTTTGACTCTCAGTGTGCGGTCTTGTACCTACACAATGCAGCTTAACACGGTTAGCTAGCTCACTCGAAGCTACCACCAAATATGTGTACACGCACTGTTTAAAAAGTTCTCCCTCTTCGCTTTTATATCTGCGAGACGTTCACGAGACTTTATATATATGTATGTGTGTGTGTGTGTGTGTGTGTGTGTGTGTGTGTGTGTGTGTGTGTGTGTGTGTGCTTCGTGTGCTGTGTGTGTGTGTTAGTGTGTGTTGATAGGTGGTAGCTGTGTGTGTGAACCCTGTGTGTGGTGTGTGTGTGTGTGTGTGTGTGTGTGCGCGCGTGCGTATGTGTATGTGTGTTTTTGTCCTCTAACAACACAGGGTTGACTGTAGTTATTTATATAGTTATGCTATATACTACACAATCATATACATAATTATACACGTGTGCATATATGTATTTGTGTTTTAGGGCTGCTCAAGAATCTGGTTGCGTGTTCCGGAGCGTGCTCTACAACAATGGTGTGGTTCCGAGCCGTTACTCGGCGAAGTGGCGGGGGTCGCCAGACCGTATCCTTCCTGCTGGCGCCCCCGCGACCCGTGCCAGGACACTCCCAGCTTCGACGTCGCCAGGCCCGACGGCAAACGCTACACTGGGTAAGCACCCCGGCGATGGCGGGTGCGGGTAGTTCGTCTCAGTGTGAAGCTTGTGGCCCTGCGCGCCGAACGATCACATTGGTTACTTTGTGACGGCTTCTGCGGAATGCTCTTCTTTACTAGCTATTATATATATATATATATATATATATATATATATATATATATATATATATATATATATAATATATATATATATATACTATCCACTGCACACGCGCTCACGCTCGGCTCAATATCAGCTTCACTCTCGCTGACACTCGCACTCACACTGACACTCACACCTACCATCACATTCACACTCACACTCACACTCACACTCACACTCACACTCACACTCACACTCACGCTCACACTCACACTCACACGCACACTCACACTCACACTCACACTCACACTCACACTCACACTCACACTCACACTCACAGTCACACTCACACTCACACTCACACTTATTATTCACACTGCACTTCACACATTCGACATGCGTACTCGCACCTTTTAAAGACGTCCCCTCTGCATCTCAGTGTGCCACATCAAATTTTCCATCCTGGATACATGCGACCTATGGATCGGCTAACTTTACCAACGGGCTCAACGCGCTGTGTTTGTGATTTCAGCGCTCAGTCAAACCAAGGAGACGTTCCAGTTTTCGCCGCAGCCTCACTCCGTCTGCACGAAGACGGATAACGGCAAGGTGATGGTCGACACTAGCGAACACTACATTAAGGTGTGCGACGCCGGCGAGTGGAAGCCATTCGTCTTCAGACGTGAGTATACCACCAGGTAGCGCGCGTGTCGTGTTGTCGCTATAGCAGGCCAAGGAGCTATAATATTAGCAGGGGTGAATGATGTTAAATGTCATTAATTTGTCATTATTCACCCCTGTTATTAGTAATATCGGGTCTTGATTTGGAATATTGTCTGATATGTAGCTCCTTGTAGGAGAGCCAATCCAGCTCGCCAACTCTTTATCCTAATCACGTGGCTCCTGCTTTCATCAGGCGATAACCTTGAGGCAATCCGGCTGGAAAATTTTGTATAAAGAGAATCCAGCGGGACCGGTGATTGCTATCGTTATAGGAAGCTGTCTTAATGGTCATCGTGAATAATATAATGTTTTATTGTCTTTACGATCGTACATGAACAGTGTGGTAATTTTATGGGGATCATAAATTGAAATGCATGCACGAATCGTAATAGAATACAATATCAGGCCTAATAGATGGGAATATATTATCGCAAGTATAGAAGAGCTATTATCGGGAAAGCCTAAGTTACCTCTGGTCATTGGTCATATGGTCATTGGTGTTGCTGGATTATCCGGATTGTTAGCTAGCTGACAGCTGGATATCTCATCAAAGCCGTAATGCCTACTATCTGGAAAACGCCTCGTACAATTTTAACGCGAGTGCAATAAAATTTAGGTTAGATTCATAAACGTTACATGCATCTATGCACGCTCGTTCTCTAATTTAGGTATCAATATAGGATTTGTACGTGCAACATCACGCAATCCCTAACTAACTCCTCGTGTATCATATCGACCTAAGAGCTATATAACAATAAGGCCACTCCGCACGGACTGAACAATAATGAGATGCTGATCTCACAAGTATATGTGCGTGTGCGTAGGTGCGTGCGCGTGTGCGTGTTTGTGTGTGTGTGTGTGTGTGTGTGTGTGTGTGTGTGTCCGAGGGTGCGTTCGTTCGTGCGTGCGTGCGTGCGTCCATACGTGCGTCCGTGCGTCCGTGCGTACGTGCGTGCGTGCGTCCGTGCGGCCGCGCATGCGTGCGTGCGTGCGTGCGTGCATGCGTGCGTCCGCCCGTCCGTCCGTCCGTGCGTGTGTCCGTGCGTCCGTGCGTGCGTGCGTGCGTTCGTGCGTCCGTGCGTGTGGGGTGTTTGCACATAACTTTCATAACAGCGTGTAACTCTAACCTTGTCGTCGTTATATAAAGCGGTGTCGGTTTCGTGGGTGCATGTCTCTATCTGACTGTGTGGCTAACGACGCGTCCTTACTAATCTCTGCTCCTGTTGCTTCCATAACATCACCGACGCCAGCTACTGTCGCCGACTGGCCACCGTCGACCGATGCCTATCGGAATACATAGATAAGCATCTCCTAGCAGCCCCGCCTACCGGTAGCTGGCGAGATCACGACAAGTGGTTACCCTTCACGCGTTTATTTACAATGTATTTATTGATATATGTATATATATATATATATTTAATCTTTCCGTCTCGGCGGCATACTCTGACTCCGACACAGATGCCCCTACCCTGCACGACGTTCCCGCGCTCGCTTCTCGGTTCTCGGTTGATTTCGGTGAGTAGGGTCACGTCGAGAACCGTGTGCGAGCAGGGTAGATAAACTACGTCTCTAATAGCCTTCGTCATCTAACGTGAGATCTAACGCCGGGTTGTTTGCTATACATGCAGCCACGCTGGAGGCAAACATGGACGGGTACAAAGTGCCCAGTCATTACGAAGAGGGCACGCCAAGTAGGTTATCGTTAACATTAATATAAGGCGTGTGTGCGCGCGTGCTTACATGTGCGTGCGTGCGTGCTCACGTGTTCGCGCTTGCACGAGTGTCATGGCGCTACGGTTAGATGTCTGGTCACGCACATTACATTCACGTAACGAACAACGGAGTGCATTGTTTAACCTCATTTAGCCATTCTGGCCAAAACGATAACTGAAGTCACCTCTTCTACTGTAACCCAAGACGGTTTCGTAATAAACATGTTTAAACCTGTAATCACTGTAAACGCCGTACATCTTTAAAGATGTGCAGATATGTAGCGAAATACACGTCCGAATGTTAATTATCTGCAACATCCAGGGTTCGATATTAACCTCGTACCTTCCAATAAACTTATTACTCCTAATAAACTAATAAAACCTTCCGGCTACACGGTTTCTAGACTGCTATAATTCCTTACGCTGCTACCCCGCGTTGCCTAGCAATAAATTCGCTAAAGAGACTTGCTAAGCTAACGCGAACCAGGAAAGTTGGCATCTGCATGTGTTAGATATTGCACGCCGACGTTTTCCTACGGAAATCCAACTTTTACTAACTCTTCCGACACTAGTCGACGAGAGAGTTCATATCTCGACTTTCATGGTTACGTAATCGTATGGTAATATCTACCCCTCCCCCAACAATGACGGAAACTTTGGAAGAAAGATTCGACTACTTTATTTGCGTTAAGCCTCTGTCTGCAAGTGCAAATTACACGCAAAATGTTTCTACATATACTATATATATATATATATAATCACCGACGGAATAATCCCAGGGTGTTTATAATCAGTGGGGGCTAGTAGCGAGCAGGTTGCCGGGCATCGGTCTGACCCAGCATGACCAGTGACATTGTGGTATATATATATATATATATGGTGGGAGTGACTAGCTGCAGAGACTCTAAGAATAAATTGCTAGGCCCCCCAATGTCGTCGCTAGAGTGAACGCGCCTCTAAGCTACGATTCCGTCGTCGCGTTTAAAATATATACGGTTTTGTTGTTTTTCATCACAATTACGCCTGCGGTTATAGGACTCTATATTTCTCCACTTCGTATACGTCGGACCCGACGCGCTGCACTAACGTGGCAGCGAGCGCTATCTCGCAACAGTTGTATAGTTCGGGGTGGGGTGCGTGTTCAATGTTGTGTATAGGACAGTAGTAGTCGCGTCATGTGGCAGCAAGCAGAGTAGCAGATGTGCTGGCGGCCGACGTAGCAAGCTATTAGTGCTCGTCGCTGAGGCTTCGTCTTCGTGCGGCATGCATGCTGACCGCAGTAAATCAATGGGACACGCTGGACAAAGGTCCACAGAGGTCAAGCATGCACATCGCTAGATGTATATGGCTTCGGACCGCTGCTAATCACATGTCAGTGGCACGTCTGCATTGATTCTGACCTTCATGGCCCTTATAATCAATATTAACCCTTATATCAATGTTATATATTCACTGTCTTAAGTACACGCGCTTCGGCTGCCCTATTGTTGTACCTATTCTCTGCCCCATTTCGACATCGCCCGTAGCAGTCCCCGTTGAAATGCTGCGGCATATCTGTTCGCTAAAAGGCGGCGTATAACACATTCAGATTTTGAAGGCACGAGTGCGCACGTGCGTGCACGCGCGTACACACGCAAATCGAGTTTCGGTTATAGAAGCGACGCGCTGTGGCGTCCGTCGCAGCTTGTGCATGCACAAATATGTTAGATGCGCGCATGCATCCATTTATATTACCCCGGTATTGGTTTCACCCTCGGCTCTTTCGTCGGCATTGCATGCACGCATGTGTGACGGTTTACAAGTGCGACATAACTATCACATAATTACGAACGTCTATGGTGGAACGAAACGACGAACGTTTTTGTGAGGGATAGTCAGACAGGCAGTAGATATTGGCATAGCGCTACATTAGTACTGCTAACGCTTATGTGGTAGAGAGTCTGTCTGTCTGCACATATTACGTCGGTCGTTCCTTTCGCGGTTTATAGGAGAGCAGTATAATGTTGTTCCCGATGTGAAATCTCGTTTGAAATATTAAAATGGTTCCTTCATTTGATTTCCCGCCTTCTCGCGCAAGCGCGTGTCTGCTTTTCTACTTTTGCTAATCACATTGCGTGATGGCGCTCAGGTATGATGAATAGCAGCAATAGAATGAAATGGCACGCTGAGGAGAAATGCATAAAAAGGTTTCTGCCTCATTTCTAAACATACTTGTCCATGTGGTTTGCGATCGCGTGCTATATATGCTAGTGTGGGTATTATAACCCGCATATCAAACTTATTAGAGCGAAGACAGCGACTCATTATAGAGATATACTCTCTCAGCGAGACGTCATTTTGCTAGTATTAGTGCTAGGCGTTGTCGCTCTGCCTTGATTAGTTGTGTAGAGAGGTGCTTTTTTATGTACCATATCGTGTGTACGCTTACATTTCGATTCCCACCCGAATATAGCTGCTTTGCTCTACAAAAAAAACGCGTCTTGCGTTTGTCAGCGTTAAGGCTCCATGCGCGCAGCACGTTTCTCTGTAGATGCACAAAAGTCCAGATTAGAAAGAAGTAGGCGCCTACACCCAATAAAGCCAATACAATACACCAATATACCAATATAATAGTTATTAAGCTGCAATACCAGTACGCGCGACGCGCAAATGACGACGTTGATGGTTATATTCAATGTGAGAGCAGATGACTGAGTTGCAGTCAGCGTAGTATAGCACAGACTGCAACCGGACGTCTCTATCTGCCACATGACATGAGCAGCGCCTTCTCACACCGCGTCCGTCAGCTGTCGCCACCTCGGTCTCGGCGATAGCAGCCGCAGCGAAGTTACTCGTAAACCTCATCATCACCGGAAAAAAACACGACATTTCTTTAAGTCGCAGCACGTGTGCGCACGCGATGTAGTCAATTAGTCAACTCTGTATAGCTGAGACGGGTGTCAAAGCTGACTAGCTCTGGATCTAACTATTGGCTATCGCTAACTCGAGTCTAATAACCGGTAAGCTATTTCTAGCCTATATGAAGGCTTCTTACTGGGCTGTTGGTTCTCTGGGAAGCCAGGTTATCTCTAACCTGGGCTGGTTATACTTGAGTCTACCTACCTGTAACGATAGGGCCACTATAGTTAATTCACTCTAATATAAATGAGCATTGCCTGCCTGCTATGAGGTAGACTAATATAGAAAATTGCGTGCTAATGTATAATTTAATGTTCGGGACAAATTAAATGTGCGCGGGAAGGTTTGC